CATAAATTAGTTTTGTGCTTTTAAATCATCCACAACTCTTAAAAAAGTTGTTCCATAGGTATTACCTTTGTTCGAGACATGCCCTTCTCGTTGCTTTTGTCTGTCTTGTTTCCTGATCTATCGTTGTTCTGAAAGAGTCTGTGGTTCAGATTGTGTTGTTCCACTTGCGCTAATAAACAGAAACAAAAAAAAAGATTCAATGATTTCCTGCCCCTGAAACCGATGCTTGCCAACATGAAGAGGAAGAAGAAAAAAAAGTTTAATCTTAATTCTTAAGAAGCCACCATGAGATTTCAAGGAAAAGTTCTTGAAGTAGAACATTTCTTTTGTATTTATCTGAGGACCGTTTTAACAGTATAAAAAAAGTAAATGCAGATTTAACAATAGAATGTGAGAAAGGCTACTGTGTAGAGCGCAGCGAACCAACTCACCACTTCCTCCTTCAGCTGCGACCACAGAAAGAGGAGTGAGCTGTTGAAAGGCAGTCAGAGGGTCTGCAACAAAAAAAGCCTCCGTGATAACAGTGGTTTCCACTATAATCATCGACAAACCAGAGCTGTGTTTTAATTTCCTGCTTTCACAAATTATGGCTTCTTAGTATTTCTCATTCTGTAGCAACAACAAACACTACAATATGATGTTTCACCAAATATAGTGGCAATATGCAATAAACTGGTGCATTGTCGTAAAACCAAATTCAAGCCTGACATTTTACACACTGAATGATCTAACGTGTATCAGTAGGCGTAGAGTTAGAGAAGTAGTTTGGAAGAACAAAGAAAATGCATCAAAAAGCAATGGCTTTAATCAGAAGTGATTCATATCTTCAACATTTAAGTGTGATGGCCGTGGAACATAAAAAGTAATGTGACACATAAGTATGCTGAGCAGGTTGCTTAAACAACAAAATGGTCAAAAATCGGAGTTTGTGTACTGGTATGAACTGGTACCCTGACAACGAGGCGAATGTAAAGGAATGAATGATTGATCCAAATCAACTATTGTCGATTTCCTACCCCGACAGTGTACACAATTTGATTTTCAACCCAAGTCCATCTACAAGTGARGACTTCAAAGCATGCAACAGTCTCCAAATATAATTTTTCCCAAGTCAGAAGAAACTGAAGCTAAGATGAMCAGTAAAAACAATCCAAATTTGGTTCTTAGCTTGTAGGTCTGCCTGACCAAAATTTGTCAGCAGCTGGGACAATTCAGGAGTTTGTTTTCCTTTTGTCAGTTACAACTTTTAAAAAGGGGCTTTTTTAATTTCCAATTTTATTCAAAACAGCTGAAAATTATGGCGGAAAAAACGTGATCATCATGGTTGAAAGAACACCAATCACTTTGTGTTTATAAATGGATTTATTTCTCCAGAATGGCGGACAACCTKTCACCTCAGAGAAATCTAGATTTTTTATTTAATTGCCAAAAATTTTAGTTAGAAGAAATACCTCACCTTGTTTTGAGCTTTTCACTCGAACACTCTAAGGAAGACATTAAGAGAAAAATAAGTTATCATCCTCAGAAATAGGAACTTTGATTGAGTTGATCACTGACAGAATGAACCCAGTAGGGTGTACAGAAAAAGGACAGTGCATTGCAACCCTCAGCATCCTTTTTGTTTGTTTGATAATTACCTTGCTTCGTTTCTTGACAACATCAAGGAACCTCCTGGGCTGAGAGCTGCCGTCCCACTCAGAGGACATGCCGACCTGCGGTGAAGGTGTCGATCCTATAGAATGTGGACGAGCAGAACATCTTGTATGACCTAAAGAAACAAGACGGCCCTTTTTAACCAAGATCAAGAGCTGGACCTTTGTGTTTCTGAGACAGAATGATGTGCTTACTGTCTTCTGTAGAGGGGGTGAAGGGTTCTGGTGTGCTGTCTGAAATGGGCAGTGCCAAATTATCCACATCTGCACAAATGTGATAGCATTTAATTGATTTATAATCAGGACATAGTTTATTGTGAGCATTATTAACGTCATAAAAAAAGAAAATCTTTCAGTCTAAGGTTTTTACATATAAGGACATAATGAACATTTTAAAATAACTTTGTTCTCCAAAATGGTTGCTAAGGATAGTTAAAAGCATGTTGAACGTTAAAGACTGACATAACTTTACTCATGAAATCAATGAGTAAAGTTACATCAGTCTTTAATTTGGTTTATTTACTACAATGCATTAGCCTGGCCAATGCCTTCCTACACAGTTCTGCTTGATTCTAATCTTCCTTCTCTGCTCCGTCTGGGGTTTCTCCCATAGACAATTCTTTGGTAGAATTTCAACCGAGCCAAACAGTGAACAGAAGGAAGAGTTGTGAACATCCGTCCATTCATCCAATATCTATACCTGCTTCTTCCTTTCACGGGGGTCACTGGTGCCCATATCCAGCAGTCACAGTGCGAGAGGCTGGGTACTATTAACTATTATATACTGAACAAAAAAGTGTGAAACAACTGAAAATATGTCTTATTTTCTTGGTTCTTCGAAGTAGCCACCTTTTGCTTTGATTGCTGCTTCGCACACTCTTGGCATTCTCTTGATGAGCTTCAAGAGGTAGTCACCTGAAATRGTTTTCCAACAGTCTTGAAGGAGTTCCCAGAGATGCTTAGCACTTGTTGGGCTTTTCGCCTTCACTCTGCGGTCCAGCTCACCTCAAACCATCTCGATTGGGTTCAGGTCCGGTGACTGTGGAGGCCAGGTCATCTGGCGCAGAACCCCATCACTCTCCTTGGTCAAATAGTCCTTACACAGCCTGGAGGTGTGTTTGGGGTCATTGTCCTGTTGAAAAATAAATGCTGGTCCAACTAAACACAAACCAGATGGAATAGCATGCTACTGCAAGATGCCGTGGTAGCCATGCTGGTTCAGTACGTCTTCAGTTTTGAATAAATCCCCAACAGTGTCACCAGCAAAACACCCCCACACCATCACACCTCTTCCTCCATGCTTTGTGGTAACCAGGCATGTAGAGTCCATCCATTCACMCTTTCTGCATCGCACAAAGACACGGTGGTTGGAACCAAAGATCTCAAATTTGGACTCATCAGACCAAAGCACAGATTTCCACTGGTCTAATGTCCATTCCTTGTGTTCTTAAGCCCAAACAAGTCTCTTCTGCTTGTTGCCTGTCATTAGCAGTGGTTTGCTAGCAGCTATTTTACCATGAAGGCCTGATTCACACAGTCTCCTCTTAACAGTTGTTCTAGAGATGTCTGCTGCTAGAACTCTGTGTGGCACTGATCTGTTCTCTAATCTGAGCTGCTGTTAATCTGAGGCTGGTGACTCAGATGAACTTATCGTCCGCAGCAGAGGTGACTCTTGGTCTTCCTTTCCTGGGGCGGTCCTCATGTGAGCCAGTTTCTTTGTAGCGCTTGATGGTTTTTGTGACTTGCACTTTCGAAGTTTTCCCAATTTTTCAGACTGACTGACCTTCATTTCTTAAAGTAATGATGGCCATTCACTATTTTCTTGCCATAATACAAATTCTAACAGTCTATTCAGTAGGAATATCAGCTGTGTACTGTATCCACCTTCTGCACAACACAACTGATGGTCCCAACCCCATTTATAAAGCAAGAAATCCCATTGATTAAACTTGAGAGAGCACACCTGTGAAGTGAAAAGCATTGAAGCTCATCAAGAGAATGCAAAGAGTGTGTGAAGCAGTAAAAAAAACAAAGGTGGCTACTTTGAAGAACCTAGAATACAAAACATATTTTAAGTTGTTTCACACTTTTTTGTGAAGTATATAATTCCACATGTTAATTCATAGTTTTGATGCCTTCAGTGTGAATCCACAATTTTAATAGAAAATAAAAAAAACTGTTTGAATGAGAAGGTGTGTCCAAACTTTGGTCTGTACTGTACATCATGAAAACTACATATATCATAATACATAATAAGTATGTTGTTATCACAAGAAAATCAAGGGGAAAAATTTATGCGGAAAACATCCACTCTCCATTTCCATACATTCACCCTGCATTTTCAAAGAAAATGTTATTTACCTAATCTGAACTAAAAGTAAAGAGTAAAAAAATAAGTTCCCTGATGATTTTAGTAACTGCAGAACCAAYTTTATTAGATGTAACTCTAAGCTGTTGTCTATTACCTTATTTGCCTCACATATCACTGTGTCCCGCTTTTCTTTTCAATGGTGCTTCAGCACATTGTTTGTGGCYATTTGTTTACTCCATAGAGTTGAATAAAACAAAACGACTTATTTAACTCTGTGATTTAGTCTCAGATCTCTGAAGAAATTGCCACAAGCTTTCAATCTATTTGCAACTTGGTTTTGATACTTTGTCTTTTTCTGCTTTAGGATCATTGTCCTGGTACATGAACAAATGTGGGTCAGGTTACAGCACTCTGGTAACTTCTTCATTTAACCCAACAAAACTCCAAATTTCTACCACATAGAGAGGAGTTAAAGGTTAACTCAAGGCATTCAGGTCCTGTAGCTGTAAAACGAATGTCAGTATAAAGTGTTTGTACCAACTTTCATTCCTTTTGTCGTTATATACATTTTCATGTCATTATAACTATTTTAAACATAATCACTAGAAATATTTAAATTAATATGAACTCTTGTCCTAATCACCTCCATGCAAACACCAGTGTTAAATCCTCACATTAAGGCAAGTAAACTTACTTTGAGGAAGATGTGTGGGGGTCTGAAGGTCCAGAGTGGGCCAGAATGGTTGAACGGTGGACGATGTATTTAATGCAGAATYTAATTGCATTAATGGTGCTGGAGATATGGAAAAAAAAACCTGAACTTGCAAGATTACATTTGTAATGGTGATGTCACAAAATTTAGGACTTTGCAGAAACGTTTTTGAAGCATMATTTTGCTTTATTATTAACCAGTGTTTTTGCAAAATGTTACCTGGTGAAATCATTTCTGCTCTCATACTCTGCAGGAAAACAGAAAAAATTGTGTTAAAAATCTTCAGAATTTTAGAGAAAAATTTATTTATAAATTTAACATTGATCAATAAAGTTTAGACTCATACATAACTTGGCTTGGATCATTTGTTAAAAACAAATAATTCATGATAAATATTACCACTAAATATCCCTGTGAAATTGCAGGAAGTTAAACATCTGAGACTTACTTTGCTTCTAACGAAACCTTTTTCTTTTTGTACTGCGACTTCTGGTGCTGAGTTTCCAGACCATTCTGAAGATATTCCTATTATACTCAGGTTCACTACTGGCCTCACCTCTCGCTGCTTCTCTACAGGAACTGCAAACCAAAAATAATCTACTTAAAGGTGACAGTTCCTTGTAACAGTAGACTTTATTTGATAAACATTTATTTTAACTCTAAAATAAAGACTGTAAAAATACTGTAGGGTGTTTGGTTTTTAAAAGTTTAAAAAAAATTTTTTTAACACAGATGGAGCCATTTTATTAATGCCATAAAGCATACTGTATCAGGTAGGAAATGATGACATAGACTAGGTTATTCTCCTTTAGTATTGGTAYTGGTAGATGGGGATGGGTGAAAACCCAGGTCAGCAGTGGCCTCATGAATGGGTCGGTCCATTACTCTCCCCAAAAGAGACACTGAGCTTTTAATCAAACCTTTGCGTCCCTCAAAAGAAGGACACCAGGTTAGAAACACTCATGCTACATTCACACCGAATGCGTTTTGAGCTGCAGAAGCGGTCAGTTGACATGCAAAGTCTATGTTGGACGCGCCTCTAGGGGTCTTACGGCATGTCAAGTGCATTCAGTGCAGCGGAAGGTAGCGGTAGAGCATTGTCCGTGCATGCGGTGCGGCGAAAGCAGCCGACGCTCGAGTTAAAAAATTTGAACTTTTGCTGCTCGACGCGCCACAGTAACCAATCAGAGAGACTTATTTTTCCACATGACAGTTTCCTGAATGTTGCCCACTAAACCGAAACGGACAGGATCTCTTTAGCTGAAATCGACCGTCTGCAGTTGGTGTTTTGGCTGGAGATATCAGCACTGATGTGAGTCAGAAGCTCGTTAAACTGACTGCAGCGTTAAGCTGGGCTCAGGACGAAAAATAAATAAAAAACAGTTTGTCAGATCGCAGCTCCTGGAGTGGTGAAACTAACTGAACAGACCACCTCTAAATTATCTGGTGTATTAATTTTCTGGTGTGCGCAACGTTCGCTTGCTCTTTGGTAAATAAAGCATAGCCATTTTCTTTATTTTATCTTTATTTCATCCGCCAAAGACAGACTGGAAAAAACCAAGACACTCCTCCCTCTTCAGTCGTCTAGCCTCTGTTCCGGTCTGAATGTAGCGTGTCCAATTTGAGGCACTGGGTGCATTTTTGCTCCTCAAAACGCATTCAGTGTGAACATAGCATAAGTGTTCTGAGCTTCTAAAGGTTCTCTAAAAATTATTTTCTTTTGACTACATGCCAAAGGCATCACAGACTATTGCCATTGAGTCACATCACCATTTTATGGCGGATGAGCAAGTTGGGCCCAGTTAGGACTCCAACCAGTGTACTTAAACTTTTTCTTGTCAGGGCAAGAAGTACTTTAGAGTTTAGAAACTTAGAGTTAATCTTGAACAATATCTGTCAATCAGTCCTTGTAAATGAAACCAGAGCACCTTGACAGAGAGGAGAATATAGAAATGACTCATACTGAAACTGAAAATGTGACAACAGACCTGCTTCATGGAAGGATAACCTCAGTTTAGCCTATTTGCTTTTGCGCTACAGCTGATTTAATGCAAATACATGGCAATAGCAGCTGAGCCAATATTGTTACTTCGGGAACTAATACCACATGTACATAATACTATATGTGGCTAATGCCAAATCACCATATATATATATATATATATATATATGCATTAGGTAGTCGAGTTAGTGCTAATGGTATATCATATGTATTGTGTATTAGCTCAGCGCTAGAGCAAAAGCTAGCAGGCTAAGCTGAGTTTCTCCATCTATGAAGCAGCTCTGTTTTCCTCCATTTACGTTTTCATTTACAGACTGAGTCATTTTTACATCCTCCTCTCTGTCAAYGCTCTCTGGTTTCATTTAAAAGGGCTGATTGTCAGATATTGTCTAAGATTAACCCTCAGAATGGATAAAGAGGCTATGGTGGCATGGTTAGGGGAGTCGTCCTGTAACCAGAGGGTTGCCGGTTCGAACCCCTGTTTCAACCGTTTCAGTTGTTGTGTCCTTGGGCAAGACACTTTACCTGCCTTGCCTACTGGTGGTGGTCAGAGGGTCTGGTGGTGCTGGTGCAAGGCGTCCCCGCCTATGTCAGTGTGCCCCAGGGCAGCTGTGGCTACAATGTAGCTTACCACCATCAGTGTGTGAATGACGGTAGTGTAAAGCTTGATAAAGCACTGTATGAGTTTAGTCCATTTACCAAAGCTCTCTCAGCCTCGCACGGATAACCTAGTCCACATCATCATTTACCTGGTTTGCCTTGGGGTGTTAATAAAATGGCTTCTTCCATGTGACAATATTTATATTTTTTAATTATAAAAACTAAACAGCCCACAGTATTTTTACAGTCTACTTTACAGTTAAAATAAATGTTTTTCAAAAAAAAAGTCTAATGTTACAAGAAATCGTGGATCCCTTGAAAATTAATTATTAAAATTACTACAAGTTTCCATTTTTTGTGTTTAATATTTGTTCATATTTAGGAAATTACCTGGCTCAATGGCCAACTCAAATGACTCCGGGGTCCTCTCCGGAAGTGGGGGAGCAGGCGACGGGGAGTTTCCTAGTAGTAGTGATCATAGTTGATCAAATATTCCAAGCTAAAGATTGACTCCACTCTTAAAGATGGTAGTATGCATCATATGCCTTGAACAAAAACTTTCCAATTCAACGTTTTTACCTTCCAGTTCCTCAGCATCATCATCTGCAGCATTGGCTGGAGAGATGACTGATAACCGTTCACACAGATCTGAGAGCTCTGGTGGACAAGATCAAAATCTGTTATAATACAAATGTTTGCCAAACTAAAGTTTAACACAGTTATTACAGCTTACGAGTAAACACACATTTTGAGCTTTCTTTTCTTTGAAGATTCTGAGAAACGTTTTTAGAGCACTGACCTGGGTCCACAGCCAGAAGAAAGGATTCAGGGGTCCGTTCAGGTAATGGAGGAGGCACTTCGTCATCAGTTGGCACTTTAGAAAGCGCATGCAAAACATATGTCAATAAAAGATTCAGCCACTATTGTTGCTTACTGTGAGACTGCTCATGCATTCTGCTTTACCTGAAATCGAAGAACTTGGTCCCATTTCCTGATCATTCAGAAACAGTGAGGGTGGACTGAAGAGGGGGCTGTGGATCCATTCAGAATCTTCTGTTGGTGCCTCCTCTGATGATGGGGAGCTTGTAGGTGTGTCAAAATAGGGGTCTTCCACCATCTGACAAACAGCCTCTGGTACAGGCAATAAAGGAACAGAGTCCAGTAACAGGACATCACTGCTGCTCTTCACACTCTCTTCCACTGTGGACCCTGTTTGGACAGTCTGAAGCAGTACACTTTTTGGTCTCTTATTCAGGTCCTGGTTGGCATCAGGAAGGGTCTGGAATAGCTGGTACTGTTGCTGTCCCCACTGCTTATCCAGAGCATCGAAGTCTTCAAGACTTTCCAATCCACAGGCCAAGGAAGTGTGGTAATCTAGTAAATCATCACTTTCCTCATCGAGCTGGTGTTGGTGTTTAGTTGGAAGATGAAACTCCTCACTGTGGTCAGAAAACTCATCTCCAATCATCTCAGTCACAGCTGATGGAGCCGCAGATTCCTGAGCAATTCAAAAAACAGTGAGTTGGAAAAACAGGCCCATTTGCTGATAGTTACGCTAATAAATGTAGCTACTGGTAGCCCAATTTGTRGGAAACAATTACCATTTTATTATATCATAGTGGTTCTCTTTGTACCCAAAAAATATGAGATGATTAAAGCTGCAAGACTAGGTGGAAGTAAAAATTGACCAGGAGACAAAATACTTAAAATAACCCAATATAATAATAATTATTATTATATACACAAATGTTTTGTTGCTGTGTTTTTGTTTTCTCTCTTGTTACAGGTGTGGAGGCAGACTTCAAATGTGTTGTCTTGTGTTTTCTTAATACATCTCTCTCATATCTTCTTGTTTCCCTTTCTATCTCTTTTTTCACTTTTCTCCTTTTTCTCTTCTTTGTTTACTTTTTCTGTCTCTGTSTCTGTTACGAATTAATACCAAAATCAAAAAATAATAACAAAAATAACCCAATGTAATATGCTACATATGCTATGTTTTGATTCATTTGTTGCATTTACTTCATTTTAAGTCTTGACAAAGAACATTATGATTGTTTTTTTATGTCTGAATAGCATCAAATGTTTTATTTTTTTTACACACCAGTCTCACCATGAATGACGGCATCTTTAAAGATGCAAATTGTAAAGAAAATATATTTGTAAAACAACATCCAGGAGAAAAGATCCAGCAACTTGTAAATTCTGCAGTGCTTCACTTTCAGAGACGGTGGGGACTACGTCAAACTTTTGTCTTCACTAACGTTAGTTAACTTTCGCAATCTGCCCCTGTAGCAAAATTAACTTTTCCCAGCCCTCAAACAAAGAGATTTAGTCAATATTAGCTCTAAATATTAAGTCAGTTATAAGTGTACTTAATACTCAGGGCACTACTTTTTTATTATTTTTTTTTCTGGTCTTGGTCTTGACTTGGTCTCGGGTTAGGTGGTCTTGACTACAACGCTACTAAAATGATTTAGGTCAATTAAGGCAGCAGTTAACTCACACAGCCTTTTGAATCAGCCTCTCTACTGTGGAGTTTCCACAKTTCATAAAACTTTCTTCTATTTTTATACCACAATATAAGGCTGTCGAGTCTATTTCAATTAAATGATTGTGTTTTTCATCTGGTGATGTTGAAACACTTACTGGCATACAAAGGCAAGCTGAAAAGTCAACTACTCAAAGGGGGCAGGTTTTCATGTGTCCTTACTGCTTGAATATTATTAAAGAGTAACTTACCCCAAAATTAACTTTTTTTTAGCTAATAAACTGTCTAGAATGTGTCTAAAATGTTATCTAGTACTGTTTCTATGCTAATTTTGATGTTTTTGTGCGGATTTGTTCAAATCTGTAATATTTGGTCTAAAAACGTGTTTTTGCTGCTCATATGGGTAGAGCAGTGGTACTGCAGGCTAATTTGCATATTGGTTAACGGCTCTCCATTGTGACGTGTCTTCTCCACAGTTTCGTCACAGCGGCTGTGTTCTGGTATAAAAGCCTCTCTCTAAGACACGCCCCTGCAGCAGTCAGAGGGTGGAACAGTTAGCAAGCTTAGCATGATCGTCTGTTGACCTTCAGCACACACACACACACACACACACACACACACACACACACACACACACACACACACACACACACACA